CGAGCTCCGGATGTCCTCATCATTCCCTCCCCCTTGCGAAGATTTCGCCCACGAAATGTCGGTACCTGCATCAAAAGGAAGTAAATCAGAGACATTGAAAGTAAGAGATACAGTATACTCACTAGGAAGCTCAAGTCAGTAAGCATTATCATTCATTCGCTCTAAGACTCTAAAGGGACCATCTCCTCGCGGGGAGAGCTTGGACTTGCGCTTGTCGGGAAAACGTTCGGTTCGAAGGTGTAGCCACACCAAGTCTCCTTCTTTGAATTGGACCGCCTTGCATCCTTTGTTCGCCTATCGCGCGTATTGCTCGGTCCTGTGAGCAATGTTCTCGCGAACCTGCTGATGGAGTGTCCTAAAGAGATCAGCCTTTTGGGCTCCATCGAGGTTAATTAGCTCGTCATTCGGAAGGGTGACGATATCTAAGGGAGTAGTCGGTTTAAAGTCCAGTTGACGACCTCGGTTTGTCCATCCGTCTGCGGATGACAAGTGATAGAATAGACGAGTTTAGTGCCGATCTTTTTCCATAACGTCCGTTAAAAGTGGTTTAGGAACTTAGAGTCCCGATCCGACACTATCGTATTTGGTATGCCGTGAAGTCTCACGACCTCTCGAAAGAAGAGATCGGCTATGTGCTTAGCATTGTCCATTTTAGCACACGGCACAAAGTGAGCCATTTTCGAAAATCGATCGACGATGACAAAAATGGAGTCCTTATGTTGTATCTTGGGCAGCCCAAGTACAAAGTCCATTGACACGTCTACCCAAGGATGAGTAGGGATCGGTAATGGCATATAAAGTCCATGAGGTTGCGTTCGGGATTTTGCCTTAAGGCAATCGACGCACTTAGCAGAAAACCTCTGGACATCCCTCTTGAGGTGCGGCCAATAAAAATGGTCATGTATGGCGGTCAATATCCTTTCAACTCCAAAATGGCCAGCGAGTGCGCCGCCATGAGCCTCGTGGAGTATGACATTCCTCATCGATCCTTGAGGGATACAAAGCCGTTTGTCGCGGAAGAGATATCCATCGTGCAAATAGAACGGGCCTGACACACCGTTTACGCACTCGGAGAGGATGGAACCAAAATCGGGATCGGTCAAATATTGATCTTTTAAGTACTCGAAGCCAAACATCCGAGTCTCCATGACCGATATCAGGGTGTGGCGTCGAGATAATGCATCAGCGACGACATTGTCCTTTCCCTTCTTGTACTTAATGACGTACGGGAAAGTCTCGATGAATTCAAGCCACTTAGTGTGCCTACGCTTAAGAGCGATCTGTCCCTTGAGGTCCTTAAGGGTCTCATGATCCGAATGCACGACAAATTCTTTGGCGAGCAAATAATGCTGCCAAGTCTCTAGAGCACGTACAAGAGCGTAGAGCTCTTTGTCGTAAGTCGGATAGTTTAGCATAGCTCCACTGAGCTTCTCGCTAAAGTAGGCCACGGGCCTCTTCTCCTGCATTAGGACGGCTCCAATGCCAATCCCGGAGGCATCGCACTCTATGTCAAAAGTTTTGTCAAAGTTTGGAAGAAGTAAGACCGGTGCGGTAGTAAGGTTGTCCTTGAGAGCGGAGAAGGGGGACAGCAATACTGCTGAAGTCTCTGACAAATCGGCGATAGAAACTAGCGAGGCCGAGAAAACTTCGTACATCTCCGATCGTGGACGGCGTCGGCCACTCCTGAATGGCCTTGACCTTCTCACTGTCGACTCGCAACCCTTGAGAGCTGACCACGAATCCTAGAAAAACCAACTCGTTTGTACAGAACGAGCATTTCTTAAGGTTTGCATAGAGGCTTTCTTTCCGAAGAGTGGTCATTACTTGCTCTAAGTGCGAGATATGGTCTTTTTCACTTCGAGTATAGATGAGAATATCATCGAAGTATCTACTACGAACTTTCCGATAAAGGCTCTTAGAACTTGGTTCATGAGCCGCATGAAAGTGCTCGGGGCGTTCGTAAGCCCGAATGGCATGACGAGCCACTCATAAAGACCTTGTTTGGTCTTGAAGGCGGTTTTCCATTCGTCGCCTTCTTTCATCCGGACTTTATGGTAGCCACTCTTAAGATCGATCTTTGAGAAGATCGTGGCTCCACTTAGCTCATCGAGCATGTCATCAAGTCGGGGTATGGGATGACGGTACTTAACTGTGATGTTATTGATTGCTCGGCAATCCACACACATTCTCCAAGTCCCGTCCTTTTTTGGTACAAGTAGTACGGGAACTGCACAAGGACTTAGGGACTCTCAGATGTAACCCTTACTCATAAGCTCTTGAACCTGGTTCTCGAGCTCTTTGGTTTGCTCGGGGTTGATCCGGTATGCGGACCGATTAGGCAATGGTGCTCCCGGCAATAGATCGATCTGATGCTCGATCCCGCGTATAGGTGGTAGTCCCGCTGGAATCTCGTCCGGAAATACATCGCTATAGCGCTCTAAGAGTCGGCTAATAGCGGGACTCAACGATGTCTCTTTACGGAGGCTCAACTGATCTTTGAAGACCAAGAACAACACCGGCTGTTCTTGACGAACAGCGCGTACCACCTGACTATCCTTAAGATAGAAACTCCCTTTCTTCGGTTCGGGTTCCTTGGCTAGTTTAAGCTGCATCTCATGAACTTGAGATGGACTCAATGGTGTGATCACAACCTTTCGCTTGTCGTATACGAAAAAGTATTGGTTTGCTCGATCGTCGTGTTTTACCTCCCGATCAAATTGCCAAGGCCTACCAAGCATAATGTGGCTGGCTTGCATAGGGACGACGTCACAGAGGACCTCGTCGTGGTACTTACCTTTGCTGAACGGGATCTTGACCCTTTCGATCACCTTTATCTCCCCGGTATTATTAATCCACTGAAGCTTATACGGGTGCGGGTGTTTCTCAGTGGGTAGTTCCAACTTCTTTACCATGTACGCGCTCGCGACATTGGTGCAAGAGCCATTGTCGATGATCATCCCAGAAACCTTCCCGTGTATAGTACATCGGGTGTGGAAGATTGTCTCCCGTTGGGTTGTTTCCTCCAGAGTTGTTAGCGTGCTAAGTACTCGCCGAGTGACAAGTAACTCGCCGCTATCCGGATACTCGATCTCCTCATCGGAGTCGGAGTTAGCAGCCTCGTCCTCATCCAAGGACTCATATTCCCCCTTGTCCGTTATGATCATAACACGGGAGTTCGGACAATCTTTGGCCATATGGCCTCGCCCTCGACACTTATAACAGATGATCTCTCGGGCTCTAGTGTCTTTAGAAGGCTCGGGCGGGGGTTTTGGTCTCGATGTTTCTGGATTCTTTCCTTGGTCCCAGAAACTCGGTACGGTTCGGCTCTCAGAGACCTCTCTCCTAAAGGGTGTTGGTTTAGACGGAGTACTAGAGGTTCCGGCAGCGTATGCTCGGGGTTTACCCAGCCTAGAAGACTTTCGTCTTTCGTGTTGCTCGATTTGCACGGCTAGGTGCACGAGATCCTGGAGGTCTCGGTACGGATGGCGTTCGACCTTGCGACCAATCTTATCCTGCAATCCGTCTAAAAACTGGGCCATAACCATTTCCTCGTCCTCGTCTAGCTCTAGTCGACTTCTAATGCTCTCAAATTCCTCAAAGTATTCTTCTACCGACCTAGACCCTTGCACTAGACACCTATACCTCCGTTGTAAATCTCGATGGAAATGAGGAGGTACGAAACGTTTTCGCATGAGATTCTTCATCTCACGCCAAGTCTCGACCTGAGCGTAATGGCCTCGCCGACGCTCAGTAACCTCACGATCCCACCAAGTGAGGGCATTCTCGGCTAATTGGGCGGCCGCATATTGGACCTTCTTACGCTCCGAATAGGAGTAACAATCAAAGATGTTATCCATCCGTCGCTCCCAGTCGAGATACGCCTCGGGATCTACCTTACCTAGAAAGAGAGGGGGCTTGAGCTTAAGCTCGGTTGATCCGCGATAAGCACGGGGCTAATCTATGTAGGGATCGTCTAAGTCATCGGGTGCCTCTCGTCTATGATCGGCCCGAACTCTCGGTCTTGGTTGGGCTCGTCTCCTAGGTGGTTCATCGTATTCGGATCCCTCGTCATCTATCCTATCTCGAGATCTATAAGCTCTACGGGGTTCGTCGTAATCCGACCCTTCATTGGGTTGGCGCTTGCGGTGCCTAGGGGCTCGGTTCCTATGGTTGCGGTCTCGGTCTACCACAGGTTCTACTACTCTCTCGCGCAACCTCCTAGGGGGTCCTACGTCACTCTCGTCACCGCTAAGGGTCTCGGGACTGTGGTCTCGGCGTGGTCTAGGACGGGCAGCTAGTTCCCTAGGTTCAGGTGGGGGATTAGGACGAGTATTCTCTAGCCTAGCTAATCAGTCCATGATTTGTTGAAGGGACCGAAAGATTGCTCCTTCGCTAGATTCGATATTCGCACCCTCACGTGACTGTTCATGGTTACTCATGTCACTCAACCTCGCAACAAACAATCACGCAGCAACCAACGTGCAAAACAAACACTTAGGCACTCAACCTAACGCCTAACGAACACAGATACGTGCGATCGAAGCAAATAGATCGTACAAGGTGTGTGGTGCAATGCAAGTGCCCTAGAACGTGCGAATGACTAAGGTGAGTACTGTATGATGCATGATAAGTCACGTGCTCACAGAGAAGTGTCAAACAATAAGCAAAATAAGTTGAGTCACTCAAACTATCACAGAGAACAATGTCAACGCAACAACACAAAACAGTCCTAGATTTCGTGCGAAACGAGTGAATCAAATTCGTGCTTCGAACTAAGATGTTAACGTGCAAGATTAAGCAACCAAACAGGGGATGATGAGGCAACTATCAAGAAATTTTAAACGTGCTCAAGGTAGGTTGTACACAGATCGGACACGAGTGACAACGAGAAGTGATGCGACATGCACAATGACGGGATGCGATAGCAAAAACGTGCAAGTTTCTTTGATGCAACAACTGATCAGATTTGAAACACCCTATCACACCTCACCCTAAGGTTTTATGTAATGGAATTAGAAAGCCTTATACTCACTAAACATGCAGCAAAAATGGCACAACAAAACAGAAACGTAAAACACGTAAAACGCCCTAGTATTTGCTAAGTTGGAAGGCATTCACCGTGGGGTTAGCGGGCGATCCTTGCAGCCATGATTTTGGGTGTGAGCGGATTTCGAAGAGGGAGTGTGAGGGCTATCAAAATCACAGAAAACACACAAGTGAAAGTAGCCAAATAAAACAGTCCAATCGTAAACAAAACCGCAACAACGTTTTAACAATGAACAAGCAAGTGAGGATCAAAACAACCGTGGCCAAGGACTGCGATTTCTGAGTCGGAATCCTTATCACGTTGCGAGTCCTCGTCGACCGGGTTTATGCGTCCGTTTGGCTCGACTTGGCTCTGATACCAAAATGATATGAGCACAGCCTCGTATAGATGGGATTGATCTCGGTTGCAGTCTCTCGCTCTTCACGGAGAAGGCTCTCGACTTTCAACGAGGGCTGGAACTTCCGATGATGGGTTCGGAAGGGGTATAGTTTCGGTTTAGGAGAGAAACCCAGGGGAAGTGATGGCAGAAGTGATGTTCGATGGAGTGGATGTCGGAGGATGGCGGAGGAGTGGATGGAGACATGGAGGATAGACCTCGGACACACCGTGGGGTTGGCTCGGACACACCGAAGCCGGGGCAAGGCCGGACACACCGAGCCTTAAGCTAACGGACACACCGTCGGCGATAAGGAGGGAGATGGCTCAACCTCAAACAATGGCAATTCACCAAAGAGAATTTCTGATTTCCAAAAGTGTAGGTTTACAAGAGGAGAAAGAAGGGATTAAGTAGAAATTACTCAAAGACAAAGCATTAAATGATAAATGGCATGCAAGCCATGTAGAGCCTAGGACATTAATGCTAATTTGACTTAGAAATATGGCTGTTGGGCCTAAATACGTGCAGCCCATATTCGCGATCCGTTAGTCCCGTAGCGTTGGCTCCGTAAGATGACACGCAAAGACATTCTGAGACTTGAGATTGGCATCGCTCGGGAATGATGTGTCAAGGCCCCGTGTCCCGTCAAGGTGGAACTCCAAGTTGGACATAAGTGAGTTACAAATGGCCCGAGCTTTGGCACGAGTGAGTGGAGGCTCGGCCTAATGTGATACTCGTGAAGGCCTCGTATATGGTCTGTTGGATGCGATGACGGGGTTGGACGTCCGAGATGATAGTGGCACGTCCGTGTGCATCGGTAAGTGGCGATCGGTCGATAGAGACACCGAGTGTTCGGCCGATCGAGCAACGTTCTCCAAAGCTCCTTGCTCCGCTCCTTGCTCCGCTTCAAGTCCCTCGTCCGAGCTCCGGATGTCCTCATGACTAGTCGTATGTCATTGCGGGAATAATGATGTAATAAGGCTAGTATGATGTGTGATTGATGATCATAGAGATGATCATAGGTATTGGATACGATCACAATCATAGGGATTCGTTAGAGAACTATAAAGGCGTATATCAGGTACGAAACGAATCATGTGCTGGATTGTAGATAGTCAAGACGGGATTTGTACCTCTCGTAAAAGAGAGAGATATCGTTGGGCCCCTCGTGTGAGTGAGACTGTAGAAATGTGTGGCCGCACTATATACGAACGTCGTCTATTTCACACAGTCGAACTCAGTGAACGAGAAAGCAGTCGAATCAGATAACGTGGCTTGTCCATGCCTTATGTTCGACTTATGATATCGTGATACAAAAGGATCATCAGCCGGAATCATCACCGGCGTTCGTAAGATCACGAACAAACTCTATTCGAGATAGGTAGTCATAGTGTCTTGCTAGAGACCGCCTATGA